GCTTCTATGATGTATTTTAATAACTCTCTTTAAAGAATAATCCTACTTACAAGCTTTGGTAATTGAATGCACAAGCACTTGTAATTATGCAATCAGGCTATAATATGTCTCTTACAACATTATACTACGAAATAAACTTGCCAGTATACAGTGAACTCTGTTCTTTAAATCTGGGAACAAAGTCTGGACAGCTCTGGCTCTTTACACATGGACAGCAAATGTCCTTCCACTTCAGTACCAGGTGGTGCGCTTCTCCAGATAATAGCGTAGAACAATATTGTTTGATGGAACAAAGACTTGCTTGCTTTAATCAAATGTGACCTTAATTGCCGTGCTTTGGTTAGTTTTTATTATGGGTAAGCACAATCAAAGCATGTTTCCTTTATCTATAAGGAAGATACAAGCATCAGCAAATACGAACATTGCAGGCTTTCTCCTTTCTTTTAATTATAAGAAATATGTGATATTGAGCTGTAACATTGTCTGGCCAAAGTTAGATAATGTTTGTACACTTATACTTTACCAAGTATTTTAAATGCATGCATTATTCTAGAAAAGCTATTGACTGGGGGGATCTTCGCTTTTCAGGATGCCATACCTGAAGGCTGCGTAGTTCTGTGGAAGACAAAGCAGTGAAGTTTTTTTAGGGGTTGGTTGGGATTTTTTTTAATACTCTAAGCAGCCAGTGCTCAGACAGGAATGAATTTACATTTCTACATCTGCAGATGTAAGGACTGCAAACCTTGTAAAACAAGAGAAAGTTTAAGCAAGTGATGTAGGTAGGAGAAAGACCACCCAAAGAAAAGGACTCTGGTCAGAAGGCAGAAGGGCATGTGTGGAACACTTGTGTACAGCGTCAGAAGCAGGGCGTTGCTGGCAAGGACATCTAGGTATTCACACCTTTCAAGGAATTGAAATCTCTTATTCCAGTTTGTTCATAGGGACCTGGCTTCTTCCGTTGCCAGCTCCGAACTGAGATAAAGGGTCTTTGTTTTGGGTAAGAGAGAGAGTTCACATTACAGGTAGACCAGGGAGCTGCAGCACCCTTGTACCGACCCAGACAAAATCATTCAACTTCATATGCTAAGAAAATAGAGTCCGGGTGGCTTCTTCCTGCAGGTGACATGTTTCAGGTTTCTTCAGTAAGGCTGGGGGGTTAGAGAAAGGAATACAAAAGTAAGGCATTAGGCAGTACAGGGGAAGGACGGCTGCTTGCCCTGAGCTTTACCACAGTGGCTGAGCTGTGAACTTACTGGGAGCTCCAGCAAAGGGCTCCTGTAGTACAGGGGTGCAAATATGGCTGACAGATCATCTGGGGGACTTTGAAGTCCTCAGTCTCTAGCGCAAAGCAGGGGGCTTGCACGGGATGCAAAAGCAAACCGTTAGAGAAAGGAAACGCAATGCTGGATGCCGACACCACGTTCTCCTTGGGTAGACAAACCTGTGAATGCAGAAGTACAAAACAATATAAATGGTGGTGGGGATGCTCATCAGTCTGGAATAAGAATGTCTTTTGCACTTAGTTCTGGTTGTTTTCAGATCAGTTCACATGGCTTTGCTGGGGACCTTGGTGATATGTGGTGCCTTTTATAGAGAAGCTGAGATACATATGACTGAAAGCATAATCACTGCTTGCTATGTTCAATGTTATGGTTCTCATTTTAATTCCGCAATAGCCCTCAAATGAGGAGAGTTTGTTAGCTGAATTTTTAACACTAGGAAGGTGAACTAAATTCACCTTTGAGGATCTGTGGCTCTTTTTTAGGCTTCCTTAATTTGAGTGCAGTCAGGAGCTGAGAAAGGTATCAATCTAATCGGTCCCTTGTATACAGCTACTTGCGCGTTTGCTTTTGTACATGTGTAAGTAGCTGGATGCAACTATAGGGAAATCTGGTGATCCCAACTTCCTTTTATCTTTTCCTTTGCTAAACTGCGGAGCAAGACAGGGAAATATCAGCAGCAAGGGAATTAAACAGAGCCCATAGACAGTTGTCAAACAGGCCGTGATTGTTTCTCCAACTAATGTCTCGTGATTTTCTGCTTTTCCAAGAACTTTGCCAGTTGTTTTACGATAAACTCTTTGCCCTCAGTGATTTTAAAGAATTATCTATCAAGCGGATAATGTTTTGTAATAGAACAGATTATTGGAGAATACTATACCAGATTTTTGCGGGTGATAAAGCGTTTCAGTGCTGTGATCCTGCTTCAGAGGCTGGGGGGTTCAATTTAACTCGGGTTTTTGTTACCAAATAACAATTTTAATGCTCCATTTTTGCCTGGCAGAAGATGTTTGTAATTAATAAAAAGAGCTTACGCAATTACCATTTGCATTGGTTCACATGCTGCTTCAGTATATGTTAGCCCTGTATAATTGCTGAAACATACACTAGTCTTATGGCTGGACAATAAACCTTCTAATCCTAAATTAGGATGCTCTTCTTAGTTGATAAAAGTTACTTTGGAACTAATAGCAAAGATTGCTGCTCTGTATTTGCATTAGTTTTCAATGGGAAATCCTGCTCAACAGCTCCATTGTTCTCTGTTTTGTCTTGTTCTCCTGTAGCTTTTTTTAGGTCAGTTTTCTTCTGGCTTCCCTTAAAATGAGATTAACAGGCTGTTTGAGTTGATTGTGCTTGTTAGTGGCTTATCTTAGAGTGGGGCTAAGTGCATCTACATGCAAGTTTTGTGAAGACGATTTCCAGAGACCTTGGAAATGGAGCAAGCCTGTCCCACAGAGGAGCGCCCTGGCTTGGAAACAAACGGACTGTGCCTGTGGGTGTGGTTTTCCTTGAGTATTTGTAGGGTATTAAATGCAGCAGTAGGCTTTTTTTTTTTTTTTCTTTTTTTGCCTGTCATATAAAATTTTGCAGTAAACGTGAAACTGCTGAAGTTTCAGTATGGTAAGCTTTCCATATGAAGACTCAAAGTAGTTGGTAGCTTCTGCAGTACTAGCATCAGCTTTCAGGGTTTTCTTACAATCCCCGTGATTTATATTCAGTGTTACAAATGCTTGTCTTGTGTTGATTCTTTGAGAACTTCACTTCTGGTAATGCAGGAGCTGGGTGGGAGACAACTATATCCCTTCATGCAGGGTAGGACAGCGTGGTGACCAGGTGTCAATCAGTGGACGCTGAGAAAAGCCGGAGAGGTGTCATTGCCTGTGAAATCCCCTCTTTAACAACCTACTTCTTAAAGAGAAATTATTCCTGGATTCAGGAGATATTACAGAAGTGAGATTTTTCTTTGGTGACTGCATTTATATTGGTCAAGGTGTTGTTCTTAAGGCTTTGCAGAAAGCACAGCACCCTTCAGATACTTCCAGAATAAATGGCTGGCTGCTGGATGGGAGGAGACAAAATAATTGGCAGGATTTCTTTTTTCAGCAGTTGTCTGTTTTTAACCTGTTATGGTACTCTTTTATGGTACCATTTTGTATCATCTACGTACTCTGTAGCAATGAATTCTTTTTTCCTAACTGCTAAAAACTGGCCTGATGACTTTCTTGTAACCGATATTTATTGATAAAGGTAATGGTCTTAGCAGAAAATGCAGGGATTTGGAGAACATCATGGCTCTCTTTTTCTTCCTGTATTCCACAAATTCTTCTGATAAGGTTTTGTCTAGAAATACAGACTTGATTTATACACCCTACCAGCCAGTGAAGAAACAACAGCTTGTACCTTGTGTTAAGTGAAAAAATTCTTTATTGGAGGCTTGTACATGTAAAAATTTTTGTTGCATGCTAGTGTAACATGTACAGAAATAGAAATACATGTAAATCTTACAACTTTGAGAGGATTCTTAGTGGCAGTACTAACTTCTAGGCTAGGCTTGCCAGTTAACGAATAAAACACAATTTATTTTGTTGATCTTGTTTGTCACTTCTATGAGACGGATATTCTTGTGGCTCCTTCCTAAAAGTAGTTTCTTAATGCATGCGGAGTGTAGAAATCATGTAAGAATATTTGGTAATGTGAAGTATAGCGGTAGTCTCTAAGCAGTAGTAGATGAGTGCGGTAGTAACTTTTGCAGCTAAAAGTAATGAAGTGGGAGAATTGCTCACCTGCGTAATAAATATGCATCAAAGCAAGTAAAGGAGTGTGTTATCAAGGCAGCCCAGCTTTCTCCTTGAACTATTAGGCCATCCTTTGGAGTTGGAATTGAAAAAGGAGAGTGAAATAACCTCGTTAAATCAATTCAAGGGCCAATTTCATAAGCACTTCAAATAAATCACATCCATTACACTGCAAACGTACACGCAATTCCAAAATTGTTGCTCATAAGTGCAGTGCTTTCTGCAGACCTCTTTAGCTGTCACGATCCCACATAATAACAGATTTAGTACATAGCGACTGGGAGATGATACAGAATGTCTTGCTGCGCAGTCACTAACTTGGGTTTCAGACTTGATTTTGGACTGGGAAGCGAATAAGCACCAAACCTTGGGCATTGCAGCCCCTCATCGCAACTGGCCACCGAACTGTGTAACTGTGTTTAGGAAAGTGGAAGTTCTCTGTGTTCCTGGAGGCTCATGGATTTGCACATGCTTGTTTTGTAGCAGTGGGACTGATAAGAATCACAGATTTCACTACATGTGTGAAAATTTCCTAATCTCTGTGTTTAGGAAAAGTCTGAAACTACAGAAATTCACTTATTTTCAAAGATCAGTACTCTCTCATGATTGCTGCTGTGCTTTTTGCAGCATATTATCAGGTGCTTTACAGAAAGGAAGCACAAGGCACTGGGCCAGTGGACAGCAACTCGAATGTTAAATATTTGCAGCAGCGGGGAGGGAGAACACTTTCTCTCACCTGTCTGCAAGTCTTTTACAACATAATTATTTCAAGCTTTCTGGTCAGACAGAGGCAGCTGAAATTTGTTTACTTTGAGTATTTATGGCTGCTCCTTATCCATCTCCCTATTCTTACAGCTTTTTACCTTTACCCTGTAATTGGCAATTGTTTTTCCTTGAATACTAACCAGTGTCCTCTCCCCCACAGAAAGGGCCCTCATCAGGAACGGATAGAGTGAAGAAGGGTGGATCCTATATGTGCCATAAGGTAATGGGGAGAGGCCTCTGGTATTTTTATATTGATCTTTCCTCTGGAAGTACCTGACTTGACAATGACCTGATCTTCTGACATTGTTGCCTGGCAGCCTGGGTGTTTGTTAAGGGGTTTAATGCAATTTAAGGAAGAGCAATACCTGAGGGCCTTAAGGAATTCTTTTTGGTTAGCTTGGAATTAAAACAAACAGCTGTACCCAGTGTGGTTTTTTTTTAGTTGTTGAAGTTAAAATTGATGTATGTCTCTAATACTATTTTCATTATAGTGCTTGAATGATGCTTGTAAGAGTAGAAAGTATGGGTGTGACTTTTTAATTTTAGAACGACTCTTGATCCAGAAAGGATATCAGGTCTTTGCAGAAAGATTGCAGGGAGATGAGTGTTTCAGCTTAGTTGATAGCAGACTTGAAATTCTTTCTGAAAAGTCTGGTTACCAGCACAATGCAATAGCTGTTCATGACACGGGTCATGTTTTAAACTCTCTTCACGCCGCACTGGAAAAAATGCTCATTGTAGATCTCCTTTTTCATTAAAGCTGTCCTGTTCTTTTTCCCCTTTCAAAGCCTGCAGCTGGCAAATCATTCTCACAATTAGATTAAATTTTCTACAGTGAGATCCCATTTTCTACACTGATTTCCTTCTTAGGTGAAATCAATGTCAGATGTTAATTAGCAGTTTTGATTAAATTAACACTAGAATAGACTCTTCTTCAGTGATGAATAATGTGACCCATTTTAAAGGCTTGTGAAGATTCTAGCCTGTCCTAGTCTTTTTTGTAGGTGATAAAACTAGGCTGTGTATCAAGACAAAAAAAAACACTGAATACTATTAGTACAAGGGCTCTTTATTAGGTGCCTAAAAATCTATTCAAACTTATCTGTTCTACTGCTGTTCTACCTCTCAAAGGTAGTTGACAAAGGCTAAAGTTTGCACCTTTTTACATGTACGCTTAGCAGCTGCTTTAATTTTCAGAATAGTTCAGCTTCTCAATCCTATTTTAGGTTTAGGGTAGACCTCTGCAGTGTGAGATGGGGGCGGCGTGCACCCCTCTTTGAGGGCAAGGGCTGCTCTCGGGCTCCCCGCTGCTGTGGAAGAGCTGGTGAAGATCACGTCTCCTCAGGTGGAGATAAACACCAGTGACCTGTGGCCTCTGTGGGGACGGCTGGTTCACAGGGCTGTTCTCCTCCTGGCAGAGCCCGTTTAAGTTGTCACCACCCTCGTGGTCACACAAATGGAACTGTTTAGTAGCTGTGCCCGAACTCCTGAAGGGATCTGGGTTTAAAGGAGAAAAGCTATCCTCTCCTCCCTGCTCTCCTCTGCCACCCATCCCCTCCAAAAATGGGTGTTTTCTTTTTAACCCAGCCATTCCAGAAGTCATTCCAGTACATGCAGCTGAACCAGCCTGAATGCAAATGGTTTTTTGTCAGAGGCCAGGAGCCTGTAGCGGGAGGATGGGAACAGAAAGCCTGAGCCAGGTCTTCTGAAGTAACGGCAAAATGGGGCAGAACTGGGATGGATTGTTCTGGAGTTGCTACATAAGTGCACCGTCTGCTACCCCAGCGCTTTATGAGTGAAAGTACCACTGTGGCTGTCCTTCCATGCTACGATGGATAACTGCTTCTGGGCGGCCTGACTTAATGTAGCAAACTGCTAAAACCGCTTAGTTCTGCGGTTTGGAAACCACCGTTCCTAATGTCAGATAACTGAGATCTGTAGCACTGTGAATAGCACAGGTTTTCCTTTTTTCAAGGCATGTAAGTATATTAACATGCACTGAGACATGGCCAAATCTGTAGAGCCAGGCATACAAAGCATGTTATAGACCAGCGTCTATACCCTGCTGTCAGACGACTTTGTCCTGTTTAGATTCATTTGGTTGTGTATAAGTTAACAGCCATTCTCAAAATAACTTGTACGAAGCACCCTGCAGCAGTCCTTCTCTGAATCTTTTAAGGTGACATTTTTGATCTAATTGCTCTGTCACAGAAATATCAAATCCTACAAGCTCAAGGCAAACAACACTGATGTTTCCCACTGACATGCATCGGTGGCATCAAATGGCTGTATCTGATGGGTGTAAGGACAAGTCCTGTGAAATCATCTTGTGCTCCTTTCTCACTTAAAGAAATGAAATGGCAGTGGTGGTTTCTCCTTTTGTTTTTCTGAGAGGCAGCTGCTGTGTGATTGCAGCCCATTCTGGAAGAGGACAGCGTTCAAAGTTGTCTACCAGGAATATATGAATTGCAATTGCATCATTTTATCAATGCCTTAATTTTAAATGTCAATGTTCTTATAGCCACCAGCCCAGATTATATCTTGATTACAAATATCCCTCAAATGCTAGCCGTAGGAATACCGGGAAGGAGCTTGCTTCCAGTTATTCCTTTCTTCTTGTTGCATCTCATTCAGTGAAATGTTTTTTGACAGGTGCCAGTACCCGTCCACTTCTACTTGTCCCTTAGAGTACTGATACACAGAGCAAGGCACTGAGATGCTTTCTTTTTGTCTGAGGAGAAGCAGAATGGTTATTTTTGCTTTTTCCAGGAGCAGGATATATTACTAGTTGACACTCGTTATCGGACGCTTTGCCATGCAAATGACCTTTCTTTTGTGTCAGCTGCAACTGGTCTCTGCACAGTGGGTTCTCCCTTATTTCTAACAGTGATTTTGATCTGTATCAGTTCATTGATCTTTCCAACAGCATTTGAAATGTTTTGCTATATTAACCTAACAAACCCTTCCCTAAGGAAACACAAGCTGTTATATCCTCTAAAGTTCTCTCTTCCCCCCCACCCCGCTTACTCTCCAGTCCTACTGCTACAGGTATCGCTGCGCGGCCCGCAGTCAAAACACTCCTGACAGCTCTGCTTCGAATCTGGGCTTCCGCTGCGCCGCAGACACCTTGCCGGAGCCACCGTGACCAAGTGGGCTGTCGCACGAGACGCGAAGGGCTGAACTTCACCCAGGGAAGAAGAGATGTGTGGAGTGCCACTTGCTGATGACACGGAATAGAAAAATCTAGTGCTTACACTTCCCGCTGGGGGAAAAAAATCCGACGCTACTCACCATTGCTTGAAGAACCTTCCTGTATTTATCTTTGGGGAAGCTGGCCTGGACTTTTATCCTGACCAAACTTTTTATCGGTGAATTTTGTTGGCTTTAGCGAGAGTATTCTAGAGTTAACTAGCAAAAACCGAGCAGAAACATGCCGATTGTGTTTTAGAAAGTTAATTAATAGCTCCTTTAGAAAAGATCTTTATTCAATTTTTATTTATGTATAGTTTGAATTTCTACACTCAAATCCAATAAACAAGGACTTCATAAACTTCTAGACAGCTTTAAAAGAAAATTGAAGGGATTAAGAAGAGGTGAGGACTGGAAGACAGACAGCTATGGACATGGGCGGTTAGTGCAGCCCTTGTATTACATTCCTGTTGCAGTGAAAATCTGGTCCAGAAATGTGGTTTGTTTGTTTTTTTTTCCATTGAGATACTTGCTCCTCTTTACAAAGTGCCTTCTGCAATGAGGGATGATAATCCTCAGGGTGGTGATGATTAGAAATGATGTATGTATTTGAATAAAATTTCAAGCATTTCTTTATGCTGAAGACTTTTATTGGTGGAAAAACACTGGCAATTTCTTTTTAATTTCTCTCGGACATGGTATAAGGTTTGTTTTGGGGACTTGCAAATTGCAAACTGGCATCGTTAGAAACTGAACCTAACAAATTATTTCACTTGAAGACAAGACCATTAAAGTGAAAAGATGGCAGATGTAACTGTTACTAGCCCTAAGGCCTAATAAGGTAGCTTTTGAAACTGTTCTGTTTTAAAAAAAAAAAAAAAAAATCCCACTTAAAAGGAGAGGAATTTTAGCAAGGAGGAAGGGAAATGGGAATAATGTGAAAGGCCTGAAAAACATTCAAATCCCAAAATGAGGTAGCTCTCAAAGTGTTTTGCACTGTCACTCACTCTAGGACATGGTATCTCGTCATGTTTCTGTGCCAGGTAATTGCTTGCTCGAAGTGGAGACTGAACAAGAAATCACCTCTGCAGTAAGCTCCGCACCAGAACGTGTCGCCACCAGCTGTGCTGCTGCCCTCTACCAGGCCTCTTAACCGCCTCTGTGTAAAACAGACTGAACTTGGCCGCCTTGTCAGCTGCTTTGAGACCGAACAGTCAGTGGTGGATTAACAAAAATGTTTGCATTGACGCCAGTCCTTCCCAGCATTGTCTTTACTGTAGTAAGTCAGGTCTGGGTTTGATACAACCTGGGGTTGATACAAATCCATTGCTCGCCAGCTCCTTCTCTGCTGAGTGTTTCATGTTGAAAGGAAGACATTGGAGAAGGTCTGAGGAGCCCTTCAACAAACACCAGCCTCCAGTGGGGGGTAAAGGTAATTCTAGCAAGCAGAAAAAAATGATCTCAAAATACACCACTATGACTTGGCACTCGCATAAGCATGATAAAAGCCGTGGTAAATATTTGTGCGGTAAAGACTGCCTTAGCAGCATTAAATGTTTAATTAAAATCTATGCATTAAAACCATCTGTTTTACCAAAAGCAATAGGGAAAGAGCCTTTCTATCTTTATTTCTGTCCGTCTGCCACAGGAAGGAATGTACTTTATAAAAGATTTTGCCTAGCACTGTTTTTGGGTTTTATTCTGGAAAAAATCTGTGATTACAAATACACACACAATTCCATATATTGGAAAATCCTTATAACTTTATTTAAATACACAGCTTGATGATGCCACGCTGTCAGGTATATGTCAGTCAACACTCATTGTGCTGTGGGTGGCACGTGGAGGAAAGTCGTCCTGGTCTTCTGCGGAGATGGTGGAATGTGTCCCATTCATGCTGCTTTTGTTTGGATAATGGTTACTGTATTTTATTACAAGATATTTCATTAAATGTCCTTGAATTAATCTGATCAGATTTCAATGGGAAAGTAACCCTCCAAGGTTGTATGAGTATTGACTATTGAAATACCGATAATCATTACTGCAATTTGAGACTAGAAAGGAGGGAGGATTGCACAGAGCTCACAGTCTTTTGAGGGGTTTGGTTGGCCTCGTTGTGAAAGAGCCGGCTGAACTGCAGTGGCAGAGTGGGACTCGGAAGCTGAAAGGAACCCGAAGGAAAAAGCGAACAGAAATGCAGCAGGTAGAAACAAGGGTCTATTTTCTTTAGTCCCTTGTAAGAGGATTTTTTTTCTTTTTAGTAGGATTTTGCTCCACACCCCCAGGCAGCTGTAGCGCTAAGGTATAGTGGAGTATAAAGCACCTGCTATATGGAAAAAGGCCGCTAACAATTGCCACGATGGTTTAGAAGTCAATGACAACCTATTATTTCATGTTCCTGCAAGGCCTTTAATGGGGCTGGCTGTTTTCAGCAGTACAACGCTCCCTTGTTGCTCCGTGCTGTGGAGGTTTGTTCTGGCCAGGTAATTGATATGCAGTTCACTTGCTAGAAGCAGCATCGGCTGGCTGGGACTGAAAGGGTAGGATTGCAGAGACAGAAGGCTCGGCTGTGTTCTCTGGTCTAAGGCTGGTGATGCAAGGGCTAGATACTGCTAGCGGTGTTTGGGGGGGTTGTGTTTTGGGGCTGGTTTTTTTGAATCTACACTTCCTTAACTACTCAAAATCACGCCAAGTACGTATTCATAACAGGAAGCTAGCAAACAGTGCCGTCATCTTGAAAACCCATCTAATCTTGAGGAATGGGAATACAGATGGTATAAAACTAGTCCTGAAACTTTTTCCAGGAGGGAAGGAGGAAGTAGATTGGATCATCCACTCCCAGCCCTCCAGTCCTGCAGGCTGAGAGTGGCTGGCGCAATGCCCTTTGGGGGAAGAAAACCAGATAATAAGCCTCTAAATAGGACGAGACCTCGCAACCCAAGCTGTACTCAGGTATCTGCTGCAGTGTGCATTCCGAGTTGCAGGATCTGGAGAACTTCTCTGCTGTAGAAGCAGGCACCCTTAGTCAGGCAAGGAGTAAAGTTAATGGCCACTCAGCTTGCAAATTACTTTTGACAAGCAGCTGAAATCCTTTGGAAGCTTTCTGTATTGACAGAAGTGACACTTAATGATTAACCCTAAGAAAAATCACATGGTGATCTTTATCTTAAACTAAAACCACAGCCGTATGTAAATCTCAACAGAGGTTCTTCATGATGAAGCATGAAGGTATACATTAAACGGGGAGAAGCTAACACTGACGTTTATCTAGGAAGTATAGGTAAACACAAAGTAAGATTTTGTTTAGCAAATAGCAAATTAAGAGCAGCAAAATGTCCTTTATCCCTTGTCAGTATCAGGTTAATATTTCAGGTCTAAATAAAAGTTGTCTTTTTTTTAATAAAAAAAAAGTTGCTGATGGCCTGCAGAACAGCAGATCCCCCCCAGATACGCTGCCTCGTGTGTGTGTGTTTTGTCAAAGGTTATGAATACACTTAAAGATCCAACTGTGCAGAGCAAATAACCCAGGGGCCTGTGCCACTGATGGAGCACTGTGGCATGACTGTAAAAAGCAGCATTGTAGTTTATCTGTCTTGTATATCAAAGTTGGGGGAATTTCAAAACAAGTCTGTTTGAAGCTTCCTTAATTTGATCATTCTAGAACGGAAGTGAAGTAACGTGCAGTTGCGGAACGTACCCCATCTGATAAGCTCTCTCGTGTATCCCTGGTGTAAGGAGACGGTCAGTAAAGCAGCGTGTGCTTGTTAGATCTGGGCAAGAATGATGAAAAGAGGCAATGACCTTCTCCCTCTGCTGGGAAAGGAGAGGCCTTGCTTAATACTGTTTAGCTCTGTAGGAATAGTGAAAACAAACCAGTTAGTAGCTGAAAGGAATGCTCACGTATCTGCCAGCTGTTCAACAACATTAAAACACAAATTTGTTGTTGTTCAGACGTACTTTTCTATTTCCTACTTTAATCCATTTCAGAAGTCGAAATATTGTACTGCTTTAGACTGCAGAGTCTGAATTTGCTTCTTGCGCATGTAATAATAGCGCTGGAAAGTAACATGGACGTGCTGCTTGCTATTACTGCAGAAATCTTATTAGATGAGCCTTGAGATAGATAGGATTTAAAAAGATGGGATGATTGCACTTCTCAGAGCCTGCAGAACTGTGCCATTTACACAGAAGCTAAATGGTAATGAAACTGAACTAGTCACTCGAACCAGATTTTGGCATGCAGCTAGATGTGCCTGGAGATGGAAAATGGCGGGGGAGGGACGCGGGACAAAGCATTCAGGCTCATCTTTCTGGGCAAGTTTTTTACATCAATAATAATCAGTTATTTATGTTTCGTGGAACAAAAAACAATTATAGCAAGTAATTAAAAAAATAAATTATTTTAATGGGATTTAAGAAACCTAATGCCCTTCTTGCAAATGTCAACATTCCTTCGTCTCATTCTCTCGTGTAATTTTCAGTGACATTTCTTGTTGTTATCACATGTCCTTTCTGTGTACCAATGTTCAAGTTCATTCTTTCTGAAAGGTACGGATTGAGAGGTGCTTTATCATACAGCAAGCTGTCAGAACAAATCAAGAAAAAAAACCACCAGGCCTGGCTTAGTAACTGATTTCAGAACATCCTGAAGCTCCAGTGCTCCGTCATTATCATACCATCCACCTTGAAAACAGTCTCTAGGATTGTTGCAGAAGTTATTCTCAAAATCTTGTCTTCTAGCTGTTACTCAAAACCACATGCACTTCCTTGGTGGAATACACAATTAGCGTTCTATTTAACTGCAACCTAACTCCTAGAGAAAATTGTATTTGTTAGGTGTGCTTAGGGACTGAAAAGCTCTGGAGAGCTCCCTGAACAAGTGTCTGGTGTGGAAAAGAGGGAGCTGTCCCAAGGTAAGAAGGAAGCACATGTGCGGGAACCACAGTAGCAAGGTTTTCTCAATCTGTTATCTTCCTCTAAAGATTTTTGTTCTCCATTAGTTACTGGTAAATTATGGAATCTTCCAGAATAATCATATGAAAGTTCCTCTCCAGCAGAAATATCAGTAGCTGCAAAAAGTGCCAGTTTAGGCACCATTGAGTCAACTCGAACTGGCACCATAAATAAATTTGGTTCACAAGAATGATTCAGGAATCTGCCTATGTTACCAATGTATGTAGGGTCCACAAATGTCTCCATTATCTGCCCGCTATGGAGATGCTCCCTCACTGCTATAATATAGTTTGAATCCTTTGATGTCTGGGCCTGAATTCTTCTGCGTGCCTCATTAAAGCCTAAAACTTCACCAGCATATTCACAAACAAATCTTCCTTTAGCTATGAATTCCAGAGTGCGAAGACCCCACCCTTTCTTCTCAGTCTTGAATACCTCAAGCCTGAATTGCAAACCCCTCTGAACAACCCTGTTCTGACAGGATTCACCACACTGGCACATGGCATTGCATTCAAAAACAGGCCTGGCATACTTCTCCTCTTTGTCTGTAGGCCTGAGGCACAAATTGCTGTAATTTTCACCACGGCAAAGACACGAGCACACGTGAACCACACAGGAGCGGGTAAGACAAGAACATCCTGGAAAGGTGACTTCAGTGGGGTCAATGTCTCCGTCTGCTCCAGCCACGTTGTCTGGGCTATACTGCGAAGAGAACAGCAGTCAAATCCTTGTCACGTTCAACACTTCTTTCCATAGAGGCTATCAAATTTTTAAGTCTGTGTCTGGCAATGACTGATCTCTGAATGTGGGGAACTGAAATGACGAGCACTTCTTTTTCCTGTAAAATTCTTCTAACTTTGCTAAAATGTTTTAAAGAACGCAAATCAGATATTCCGTATAGACCAAAAAAGTCAATAGCCAGAAAAAAAAAAAAAATTAGCAGGAAAAACATGTCCGCTAATTGGATCTAGTTTACTAGAGAAGATTTTTATTTATAGAAATAGCAAAGTATCTTTAAAGTAATTTTCCCCCCTTCAAAATGCTCAATAAGCTATTTATAAGGTTAGTTGATAGCTATTTTAAGTTACAGAATTTCAAATGCCCATTTTGTTACCTTCAATATATCTCTTCAAAATGTACTCAGACCTGCTCATTCTAATTCCATTACAAAGTGGTGATGGTGTTGCACTAGCACACCTCTACATATTTAGAAAAAAAGCTCAGTTAACTACTCTATCATCGGGGTAAAACGTGAGAGGGTATTTGCTTCACCCTAAATTCTGTCTATGGGAACAGATGTGGTTCCGTTCAAACAACCCAAGTTGAAAATCAGGTTGTCAAAATTACACTAATGCCCCCAGCAGGTGAATGATTATAGCATTATGAACTGTTGCAAAATAAAAGCTGATAGAAACTTTGCTGGATTTGAAAATCAAAATATAAAACCAGCTACATGTATATTTATACTTTCTTCTCAGCATTCAGCTTGCAAAGCTTTATTTAGAAACCTGGAGTACGTGCTATTACTAAATATTACATTTCACAGTAGCTTAAGTCTGGTAGCTTCTGGGTGTTGGGCAACAGGCCAGTTCATTCATAAGTTTCTTTTTTCATAAACATCAGCCCAGTCATTTGGCTTTACTCAAAAACAAGTTTAATAGTCCCTTATCTGTTCCCTTCTTCTGCCATTCGCCATGTACAAGCATTCCTATTTCTGTAAAATATTAGCACACCACGCAATTTAGCAAGATTAGGGTCTATTTGGATTACGTCTTTATTTTTTTCCCCAGGCTTACTACAAGTTTCTTCATTCTGTTTTCTGAAGACTCTCTGATATGGCTGAAGCAAACTCCTAGGCAAGAAGGTCTACTTCCAGGAAATGCGTTTGGAACTTCCTACAAGTAACACAGAAGACAGCAGAAACTGGGCTATGCCTGAGAAAGTATGAAAAAAGCTTCAAGTACCGACCTGTATTTCTAGATTACACCTTTTCTGCTAAACCACTTCAGACGGTTGTGCAGCGGGAAGCGTCTGCAAGCCTGTCAGATTTTTACTCCCAGCCTACTTTCAGCCTACGGTCAGCGCTAACGCGCCGTAGCACGAGAGCTTTATTCCTCCTAAAAAGTAACGTCTTAACTGCGCGATTAAAATCTGCAGAATGCCACATACCGGGAAAAAAGCGTTTATATATGTAAGCGAAAGGGGCGGCGAAGAAAGAGCACGTAACGAGGCCAGTACCGAGGGGCTGGTGGCGGAGGCGCAGCCAGCCCCCCACCCCTCCCGCGGAG